AAAAAAAATGATCAAAAACTATTTGTCCAGAACTTGCATGGCATAAAATCTACCCTAGCTATTTTTGCAATATAATCAAGTCTCATACAAGTAGTAGAAACAAGAGAAGCAACTGCAGCAGAATACATCATTGGTTAAAGTAGTAAGTCAATAAATGCACATGTGCTCACAGGTGTTGATGCTTTAATAAAAATTACTGAAAAAATATTATTTGTTGCTCACATATTCTAAGCACCAGTGGAATTGTGCAATTTAAGCCAGTCATGAAACTGTGGCCTGCAGGCTTCATGCAGCAATTTGGCCTTCTGAATGGAACATCTAATTTCATTTTGTGTCATTCTCATTTGTTCAAACACTTATACAGAACAATGATTGACTGATTGTTTTTTTTATGGCTATTTAAAGCCAAAATATTTTTTGATTGCAAGAATTCATTTTTAAGATGATAATGATTTTCTGATAAAAATTCTACTGTTTAACCCATAGCTGGGAGAAGAGGTAGATTCATACCTTTCCCAATGGTATTTGCATGTAAGTGAATATAACGAACCTGACTGCAATTTGAATTCAGCTCTCCAATTTCTCATTCCAAGCTGTTAACTATTAAACTGCCCATACACCCAGGTTTACAGCACCTGAGTGGCCATCCAGGAGTATTGACCAGGCTCAACATTATTAATAACTTTGGTGATCGAACAAGAACCGGTGTTTCAACATATGGCCATAAGCCTATACATAACAACAATTAAGTATGATGTTTCTTGAATTCGGTAATTTTTTCAGCACTTTAAACCATTGGCAATTTTTCACTAAGGAAGATCATAAGAACAAATATTTTTGCCTTAGAAACCAGAGACATTCATAATTTTTTTCTGGAAAAGAAACATTTTTACTTTTAAAAAATATTTTTTTATAGAAACAAATCATGCTGTCATTTGTATTGGATTGTCCAAAAATCTTGTTAGGCTTATTAAGTAAATTTTCTACTCAATAAGCAAACTTTTTGGTGAACCCAATAATATTTTATGAAGACTTCAATTTTTTTAATTATAGTAAAAAAAAATGTCTTCCACATTTCTAAAGCAAATGTCTATATGTATGGACTTTCATAGTGAAAATGGAAAAAGAAATTATCTTTAACTTTTTTTTGTAGTGCAGCCTGCCTTATTATCTCATGCAGATTATTATCCCCCCCCACAAAAAAATCAGGGCCTGATTTAAGCATTCGTTTAACACAAAATAAAGGGTAAAACTAGTTTTATGGCACACTCTACTCCCACAGAGACAATAAAATTGAGAAATAAAGTTTATAAAGTCCCTACATATGCTGCCATTTCATGTGTTTGAATAAAACTAATCTACAATGTGAAAAGTGTTGATTTTCAGATTTATTGTAAATCTGATGCAAGTAATGGTTTTCTTGAAAAAAAATTGCTTCTCTGTTCATGAATTCATTTTATAGAAGTTTTTTAAAGATAGAGTTGAAATCCTGAACTGTCAAAAACAAATATGTCATGTAATGGCTTAAACACATGAGGTTCCATGGTAAACTCAACCCGATTATATCTTGATTGGACTTGCCTGTGTTCTTTGCAGGTATAAGATTTCACTGATTTCAAATATCATTTAATCAGATATTTTCAGCAGACTTAAATTAGGCAGACACAATTTGTCAAAATTTAACTTGTTAATCAAATGAGAACATCAACCATTTGAATGTCCACGATAGTGCAAGATTTATTTATTTACAAGATTTAGAAATTATTTTTATTTTATTGTATATTTGGTTGTATTTAGAAAAAAACTTCTGCATTTTCTCATTTTCAATAGCATCAAGCTTTTTCTTGAATAAACTGGAAATTATTTATATTTGGACTATTATCCTCATCTTTGTTGGAATTATCATAACATTTCAACCACTGTGTAATAATCCAAATATAAATAATAACTTCTCATCCCAGAAATTAAGTGAGAAACTTGAAATTTTTGTTAAGTTGTGAGCAAATACATCAGCAGTCCACCATTCTTTTATATTTTACAAACTTGACATTTACTGCTTGAAACAATCCTTTTTCTAAATACAACCATTACTTGGTTGAAAAAGATAAGGTTTTAAGCTGATTAATTATTAAGAGAAATTAAAAGTATATAAATTATCATCAAATTATAGAGTTCAGTGCTTCTCTAGTTATTCCATTTTTCATCAAAATTTTACCTCAAGATGGATTTTGAAAACCATGTAATTTTCGTTCATTAGCTCTATTTTAGAAAAATTGTAACATTGCATATAATTTGCAATGCAAATTTGAATTCTTTAAAAATGCCATATTTCAATCAGCAATTTAGAACAACTTAAAAAATAAGGTAGTTTTTTTGAAGTTTAGAATATGTCTATTATCCATTACATCTGAGCTAAGATATTTAGAAATATAAATTATGTGCATACAGTAAGAAATTTAAGAAATAGAAATTCATATTACTCAGCTAAGTTAAAAAATAACAACCAAACTTGTAATAGCAGCCTTTTCTCTTTGACTCAAAGACCTATTAATCAATTCCTATGTGCTCAACCCTATAATTGCTTGGTTATATTTGCCTATGTTCTTTACAGGAAAAATTTTTTTGCATATTTCAAATATCTTTTCATTATACATTTTCAATGGACTCAAATTATGCAGAAACAATTATTTTTTTTTTTGTCAAAATTTAATTTGTTAATTGAATGAGAATATCATCCATAGACAAAACCAGAAAAGAAACAAGGCATTAATATTATTAATTAATTTAAATGTAACTTTTGCATTGTAAATAGCTTTTTTCTCATATAAATTTGAAATTATTTTTTTACCATGTGAGTTGATACATCAGAAATTCATATTAGTCAACTAATTAAAAAAAAAAAAAAAATTAACCAAACCAGTAATTGCATGTTTTATTCTTTTGATTCAGAGTTCAGTTAAGTGCTTAATAGTTAGCTAAAAGTTATGTTTGTGGTATTGTGAACAGCAATATAAAAATAATTGTAGCTTGATTATATTGTTAACTTGCAATTCCTCTGTGCAAAGTAACAAACATCAAATAAAGTTGATGGCTAGTACCATTTTATCAAAAATTGATCATTAATTTTTTTTTCATTTTAGGAAACAAATTTTAGTAGAAGGTAACAGAATTATTCTCCTCCAGAATTCAGGTAAACTTCTAAACAGTTGTAAGCATTTAACACAAAAAAATGTTCCACATTCAATACAAGTTTGTCAGCTTAAATAAAGAAATAGGTTGGCAGGAGTTAATCCATATATCTTACTTGTTACCACTTGAAACATTTATTTACAAATTCATTACATGTACAGATCTATATGGAAACAATCAAGATGTGCCCGCACTCCACATACAAAAAAAATATCTAATTTTCATGGCTTATAATTGTGTAGTTAGAAAATCCAGGCACTTTTGCCACAAAAAAGACATCATGTTTAGGCATACACAAAAATAAAAGAAAAAGAATTGTTGAGAGTTACTTTGTCATGAGCTGCTCACATCCCCAGGAAGATGCTGATGACTCAGAATCCAATTCCATTTGTAACACCACTTTTTTTGTTTTTGCAATTCTCATTCCGGTAGCCTTTTCATTCTTGATCCTCTGGAAGAGATTTGGTGTTAAACTGTATGAAATTGTTACATGTTTTGTAGACATATCCAGGAATTTTCTTTGGAATGTTGCACTCATTTAAGAATCATTTATTTTGATAAACAATTAAATGGTCCTTATTTAATAATTTTAATAAGTAATCTCTAATCTTCATTAAATGGAAGTTTTTTTATCGTTCTTAACAGTAAACACAGCTTCCATGCAAGGAAGATCAATGGTTACCAAATTACATGCAATTCATACTTTTACAAAAGCTGAGCATAGCAAACTGAAGAAACTTCCTGGATCTTAAATGATGAATTTCCTCAGAAAAATACAAACATTTTATCACAACAGAAATAAAAATGTAATACACTTTGAGTGGAATGTCTTTACTTTAATGGTTATATGCTTACCTCATTGAGGAAGTAAAAAAAAAAATGTACAAAATAAAAAAAAAAAAAAAAGACAAATTAGGGAGGGAAGGGGAGAAAGAAGAGTAGGAGAAAAAAGATGGGAAAGTGTGCATCATTAAGGCTTTGATGAACACCTGGATGTTTAGTTTTTGTAAGTTGGGTTGTCTTTTTGTTTTTTTTGTATTTTTTTTTTTAGTCAAACTCTAAATGATACTATCAATCAATCATATCTTTGACTCAGCTTTCAAACTACCTAGAATCTTTTCTTATTTTTTTTATGACAAGCAAAAATGAATTTCTCGAGCAAAGTTTAATGCAGACAGGTTTAGTCAGAATGGAGTATAAAAAAATACTTGCCGAGAACAGTGAGTAGAAACCTGACTTCATATTCTATATTTCTGTGGTTGGGAAGGGGAGGAGTGTTTTGTTTTCATTGATGTATTATTATTGATACTTTTTTGTTTTGTTGGTTTGAAGTCAGTTAGTGACTTATATTTTCTTTTACATGGTTTTGTGTCTTTCTGTCTTTCCTGCATGAAACATCAATAGTTGTATAATTAAAAAAAAAAAAAAAAAAATGTCGTCATAAATCGGATTTCTATTTTCTTTTTTAGAATTTGATTTGGACTGACAAGTTTTAACATGTGTCAATACTGAAAAAAATTTAAACTCAAAGAAAAAAAAATGACAATTGTAAACTGGTAAAAAAAAAGTTTCTCAAGAAAAAAAAATTATTGAGATTGGAGAATGGTCAAATTAAAATTTGAAAACATTGTATACAAAAAATTAAAGCCAAAAGGAGAAGAAAAAAAAATCATAGTTTTTAAAAAAATAAATGAATCTTTTTTGCTGGTGTGAATGTGTGAGTGCACAAAGTTTATTTTGTAAGTGGATGATTGTTTCTCTTTTTCACATTATGTGATAATTAGAGGTGATTTTTTTTTCTCTCCCCTAAATTATTTCACTAGTCCTGCTTTCTTTGCTTCAGTTTCGTAAATAAGCAACCTCCACATCTTCACGACAAACACCTCAGCTTCTTCATCAAGAACCATGGCGACGTCGTTTAAGATGCTTTGTGGAGAGCTACGACCGATAACTTTTTGGCAGATAAAGTCAGTAAGAGTGGGTTCTTCTTCACCAATATAGTCAACAATTTTCTTATTAACCCAGGGTCGAATACGCTTATTCATGAGTGTTTGGTCCACTGTGTTCCAGTCCAAGTGATATGAGAACAACTCCTCCTTTCCTGTAGGAATCTGCTCAATGAGTTTCTTGATTAACTGCCTTTTCTCTTCAGCAGTTGTTGCTTTCTTTTCAGGCTTTTCTTCATCATAATCCAAGGGCACAAGCTTGCGTTTTTTCACAGGCTCAGCACCATCGTCGTCTTGACTGAAGACATCCCCAACAGTAATCTTTTTTTTTTTGAAAGAGGTAGACTCGCTTGGACTGTCCGATGAGCTGCCAAGCTTTATGGAGCTAAAACCAATTTTGGCAGGCTCATCTTTGAGATTTGGTCCAACATTTGCTTCTGCATTATTGTCAGAGTTTTTGTGAAGGTTCCTTTCCATGGTGCCAGTGGGGCTCCTGGAATTGTTAGCAATGGAAGGGACGATTTCAACTGGTTTCAATGTGGGTTGCATTTTGGGCGGGGAGATTTGAGATTGATCTGTCAATTCATTATCCTCAGTCCTGGGGCTTGGAAGAGGAGGTGTTCGTGGTTTCTTTACGGGAGAAGGAGATGCAGGCAGTAAATGCAATCGAGGTTTTAAGTGTTCATCTCTTTCTTGCTCCATTTTAGCAATTTCAGCTTCAGCATCTTCATTTCCAGCCTGCAACAGTCTTAGCCTAATTTCTTCCAATTCTTCTTTTTCTTTTTGTCTGTCACGGGCATCCAACTGCTTCTCAACTTCTCTCTCACTGAGACGCCTGGCCAATGCGCTACCCTTGTAAAACTTGGGATCATCACGAAGATCATCATAGTCCTCCAAGAATTCCTTTAGACGTCTCGCTTCTTTAGCTTCTTCAGCTTTGCGCGCTAATTCCCGTTCTTTCTCTTTTTCGTATTCCCTTTGACGTTTCTTCTCACGCACCATCCAATTTTTTAACCTTTCCTGATAAGCTGCTTCTTTCTCACGAAATTTCTTCTCCATTTTGCGCCTCTCCAGAGCCTCTTCTTCTTCCTCAAAATCTCGACCTCGGGCTCTGCGGTCCCTCTCCTTAGATCTCTCTCTGGATCGATCACGAGATTTCTCTCTGGATCTTTCCCGCGACTTATCTCTTCGTGATCTGGACCTGGATTTAGAGCGAGATCTGGACCGAGATGAACTCCTGGAGAGACTGCGCTCTCTTTGGAACACTTTTCCCTTGTGAACTTTATCCTTTCGAGCTCGGGCCTCATCGTGGCGTCGCCTGCTACTTGCCTGAGACAGACTTTCTCTGTTCCTGTTTTCTTTATCATTCACTTCCTCATCTTTATGGAGATCTCTAAAACTTTTGATTTCTCTGTTGATGATATTTTTTGTGTCCTCTTCCAGTTCCATATCGTCTAGGCCTTTATCAGCCTGTATTTTCTCCTCCCGGTTTTTTCTGTGCATACCTTTAGCATCTTTCTCTTTCTCCACAGGGGGCTCCTTAGCTAAATCATCAGCAAACTCCCTGATTATAGCATCCAGTCCAGCCTTAGTGAGTCGGTCTTCGCGCTTGGTTACTTCGTCCAGATCATTGTCATTAGCGGCTTCCGTACTTTCCTCGCCGTCGTCTCCTTCCGACTTACCTTCTTTCTCGCCGTTTTTCTCCTCGTTTTTAGCATCTTTTTTCTTTTTCTCGTAATCATCTAGCAAAGTCTTTGTTTTCGCGTCGACTTTCACCACCAACTTTTTATCTGCAATTTCGAAATCGTTTAAAAGCCTGATACATCGTAACGTTGCTTCGGGATCTTCATACTCACAAAATCCGAAAGCTTGCATTTTGCCTGACGCACCTTGAACTCGTTTCCAACTAAGTACATCTCCACATTTCTGTAGCATCAGTCCGATCATAGTGTCGGGGGCCCGGTCGCTTATATTTCCCACAAACACTGTCGTGACTGGTGGCTTTTCTTTTTTCTTATTATTGTCGTTTACCTGTTTTTCCTGCTTTTTTGGTTTGTTTGGAGTTATTGTGGGAGTTGCTGTTGAACTCGTCGTCACAATCGGTCGTATTACCGGCGGTATTAATCCCATCGGGCTAACAGATACCATACCCATTGTTGGGAAAGTAGTATAGCCCTGTGTCATCATACCGGGAACCATAGGAGGCATTCCTATAGGTTGCCGCGGCGGTAAAGACATAATATCCTTTTTTGGGTTGTTTGATGTTTTCTTTTTTTAAAGTAAATGTCCACAGTAAGCACTTAAAATCATTGTTTTCAGTTCCAAGCGTGCTCACAGTAACCCCATAGCGTGCAAATGGCGTCACTGTCCACAACTTACCTCCCTTTATCAGAACTCTTCTGCCAAAAAATTCCAATACAGATTTATGTCCCTTCATTGGAATTTTTCCTGATAATCAGAATTTTTCTGAATACAAACAGATGGGTTAATTTCATTTTTTTTTAAATATTCAGTAAGGACAAATAATCACGTGGTGCTTTATAAGTGAAAGAAGAGAATGATTCAATTGAATTTTTAAAATTATTCGTTTAAAATAGTTTATAAATAATAATTAAAAGGAAATTAAATTATTGAAAGTTTTGGGTTGTATTTATCAACAATACATTTCAAATTAGTTAACTTTTTAATTTTTGTTTTTAAATCTTTATTTTTTTTTTCAACATAAAAAATAATTTTATTGAACTATATCTGACACAAAATTAACATCACAACTTACATTACATTACTAGATCAATAATTTCAGTAACTGAAATGTAAACATTATTTTATTGTTGTTTCTCTAAGAAAATATTTATGTGAATCTGAAAAAGTGAAAGATACAGAAGACAAAGCAAGTGTCTATAATAATGATACTCAAGAATTCAAGGTTTACTGGATACACCTCTAATCTGGCCAAATACTAAAGCAGGCTTAGCCTAATATATGGGTGAATTAATAAGTTCACTGTTATTAGTAGAATTTTAATCTGAAAATTTAATTGTATACATGATCTATGTGGTTAATATTCAACAGCAAATCAAGTGCAATAATAAGGAAGGATATTATGTTGAAAAATAAATATTTATTGTGTAAATTAATTTTTTTTCATCATTAGGCTGCAAATTTATTGATGAACATATATATCTACACAGTGTATTTTCATTATAAGAGGTAAATGTTGCATTTAAACATTTTCACTGCTGTATCTGTCGATATTCCTGAGATTAGGTATTATGTACACTATTTACATTATTCGGACTATTGTCCACATCTTTGTTGCCATATTTATTACAATGTTTCAGCCTTCTTTAGGTGGTTGGAATGTAGAACTAAGCCCTTTATTTCGCTCACTATGGTAGACTGTTCTAGTTCCATGTGCCATGTCTAATGGATGTCAGTTATCAGTTATCCCTTGTTAATTCCCCTCTCCAAGTTCTCCACCGCCTTAATTTAAGTTATTGAACTCACACACTTTGGGTCCTGTCACTGGATCTAATTAATGCCTTTATCCACTGTGCCAGGTGTCCTTGACATAGAAAACTTTTTGGTGTAAAAACATTGTTTGGTATAAGATTATACTTTATCTTTTATTATTAATAACCAAACTAAAAAAATATATTTGTGCTTTTGAAAGCATTTTTGCAGAACAGACATTCTTCTTTAAAATATTTTTTCTACTTTTCTTAGTATTTCTTTGTTGGAAATTTGCCAGGGACAAGTTAAATCTATTTTGTTTTTCTTTTATGGCACTAATTACTATAACATACTTACTGTACCATGACACACCTGAAAATGACAATAACAAAGATACTGTAAAATAGATATTTCTTAGTTATTCAATTGATTTCTTTCAACTTTGTATTAGAAAGTATTACTTTTAGAATTATATATATATATATATATATATATATATATATATATATACATATATATATATATATATATATATATATATATATATATATATTATATAAAAAACATTTTGAACCAGAGATCAGAAATTATGACTTGTTGTATATATACTAAAAAGTTCCTTTTGAGTTCATTTGAAGTGGGATAAAAAGAACATGCATATTTCATGTATCACCGAGACATTTCCAATACACTTGACTTTCCTCTCCCTCTCCTCACCTTCTCTCACACCTCACACTGTGTGCTTATTTCTTTACTTATTTTTTAAAAAAAATATAGTATTCATAATTTTTTTATTTTTAAAAATAAGGTATTAGGAAATCAATTAACTGAAATCAACTGAAGATACCAAAATGTTGAAACCAAAGTGGTAGCGGAATCGGCTGATTTCCTAATTTTGTATAATATATATATATATATATATATATATATATATATTAATAAATTTCTTGTTATATGTTATTTATATAGACACAAATATTTAAGTAAATGCTCTGTCTATAATATTTGTGTCTATATAAATAATGTATAACAATAAAAATATATTAAAATAATTGTCGGACTTTGTTTCATTTCATAGTATATATATATATATATATATATATATATATATATATATATATAGATTGGAGGCATGGTGGAGTAATGTATATGTCAGAGAGATGAGTTTGTATTCCACTTGAGTTAGTTGCATCCACTTATATGCAAATACTCTTGGGAAAGGTATGACTCCATCTCCCCCCAGCTATGGGTAAATAGGTGGACAGAGTGGGTTCTATAGTCTTGGATGGCAACTGGTCTAGAAGAACAAATCTGAATTCAAGTTCAGAGAGGGTCATTTGGGGAACTTGTGGCACACTATGTGCACCAATTCTCTGTATTTGGCTATTCCCAAAAGTGTGGTTGGTTCTGCACAAACCTTCAGCACTATAATCAAATCACATGTACAAGTAGTCTGGCTGTTCGCTTCTTTACCCTCATATTTTGTGATCTTAGCTATCTTATCGACATTTGCTTTTTTCTACCTACATTTGTGTTATATAAAATTCACTATTTTTTATCCATTATGTTAAATGTTTTAAATTATTCAACTTTTTAACAAGAAAAATCTGAAGTTGATGTTAAAAATTGCCAGAAAAACATTGTTGATCTATTATGACATGTCTCTAATTTGTATTTAGATACATTGTATTTATTTACAATTTTTCTAGTTGGATTGTTCACCTATACTACATATGATCCATTATTGTACATAATTAGGTTACAATAAAATTTGTATTTTATATGAATACTACATCATGAAAATTGAGATGTAGTAGAGTGAGGTGGTCTTGCATGAGACCCTTGCACTGACCCTATATATATATATATATATATATATATATATATATATATATATATATAATAGGTTTGTCACTTAGCTGACTGATGTTACCTTCAGCATCCCGACTGCAGTTTTTCATAGACAGACCCTCCAGAATTACACCGTCCACTCCTCAGTGACTATCAGCAAAAGATTGATGTGGATCTCATTCTTTTTTTTAACAACATCTCAGCCAACCTATTCTATAGCCTGTCTCCAGTGTACAATTTGTATAAAAGTAGAGGTGTAATGTTGCTTTCATATAGGCAGCAAATTTATTGATGTTCATGCATATCTACATAAGTTTAAAAATATATTTTACTTTTCAAATGGATAAATGGGAGAGGGAAATAATGACTTACTACTTATTTCCAAGAACACCCATCTGCTAGTGGGGTTATCAAATTCCTGTTGCAGACATCTGCTCAGGCACATTTATGCTTTAAAACATCCAGAGAACTCACTTGTGGTTTATCCTGCAACTATGCTGAACAGACCCCAGTTACAATTTCTAGGAGAGAGTGCATAATTTAGCAAACTTACAATTTGAATAAAAGCCAGGATGCTCAAGCCTTCAGTCATGATAACTTGTGACTTTGTGATAACACCACCATAAACAGCTTCCAAACAGTTCCATCTACACAATTTCCCTTACAAGCTGGAGTCAATGCTTATAGTGTTCAGTTATTTTTCAAAGGTGCTACATGCTGAAATCTCCAAGTTGTTAACATCAAGAATTCACCTTCCTGACAATGTAATCATAATGAGATTCAAATTTGAGCCTTATGTTCAGAATATGAATGTTCTAACCACTCAGCTATGCACACACCAGTACCTACAATCAAAATTTCTGTAGGTTGTATACAGATGAGAAACTTGTGAGTGCCACATACAATCCGACTGATAAAATACAGAATGGCAGAAAATAAATTTTGTAGTTATGCAACCAATCATATAAGGAAATATTTGCTCTGCCACCACTGTATGATATGCAATTTGGATACTGTAATTTAATTAACCATACTGAAGCACTGATGTCCAAAAAAAAGAGCCTGATGATCCAATCAGGTGAGACCAGAGTCGCTAACAGGTGTTTTTAAATTAAAAAATTTAAATCATGGATACCAGTTCATTAGATGTGTATTCCCACACAGACTGCAGAAGATGAGGTATTTCACCTTAAGCTCTGGAAACCCAAGAGTGCTTATGTAATTGCTTGTAATTATACATAGTTTTACTCATTCTCAGATGAAGCTTTAATAAAAGTAAAACATGCTAGATAAATGCTTCGTATTTGTTCTTTATCTATATATATATATATATATATATATATATATATATAATATATATATATCGAAATATATATTTAAATTTCATAGGTATTGACTTGATCCGGAGAGGTTAAACTCTGTGGTATTAACATATAACGACTGTCATTCAGAGATCCTGTGGCAAGTCTTTTGCACTGTTACTTTTTTATCAAAAGATCCAAAAAGTGTGGGTGGTCTGACACAAGCCTTCACCACTTGAAACAAATCATTGTGTTGGTTTCCTGACAACTACAGCTAATTAGTTCCACACATATCTGGCTTACTTTTAAAAACTCTTTAAAAAAACATCAACTTCATCTTGGCACTTGGAATGTACGAACTCTTCAGGACAACAACTCAATTTTTCCTAAGAAAAAAAAACAGCTCTTGTCACATTGGAGCTAAAGAAGTACAACATTGATATAGCTGCACTGAGAATTTCTTAACCATCAGTCAAATTGTTGAAACAAAAGCAAAATAAAATGTCTAACAGTGTTCCAGCTGCACTTGGATACAATACATTCTCATGTACTTTGTGCAATTCATGAGCCGGTCTCAAAAGTCATATCCATCATAAGCATGCAGATAATTATTTCATAGTTGTCAAAACCTTA